TTTTTGTTTCGCCATCCAAGAGGATTCCTTCCCGTAGGTCGGGCAGTAAGTGGTAGTAGGCTAAGAAATCGGCTCCTATGATGGGAGTGGTGACGTCTGCTATAATAAAACGCCACGGAAATGCCCGCCGGACGCCTAGATCTGGTTGCACTGTGAGGCTGCCATAAGTTTTTATTACGGAGCCATTGGCTGCAAATAACTCGTATTCTGTAGGCGAGAGGTATCCTGCCGTTTTCGTGCGAGGGTATCCACTCACGTCTGAACCGGTGTCGATAAGAAATCGAGTCTTTGTGTTTTTGCACGTTACGTATAGGCGGTGGGGTGTCTGGGCAGGTCGGCTGGCCGCCAACAGTGACTGCCCTACTCTTTTACCGGTTTTTCATAAGTACACGGTTTAGTGCACTTGCGAGCCTTTTCACCAAATCGGTTGTGGTAATAGCAATGCTCGTCGTTGTCTTTCTTAGACTTCCGGCTTCGACTCTGGCTTCTGCTCCTCTCCTGTTTTTTTTCCTTAGCCCTACCTCTTGAAAGTTGCGTAGTGAGGGTTGCAACTTGTTTCGTCAGAGCTTGCATCTGGGCTTCGAGAGATTTCTTGTCCGGTGAGCCTTTTGTCGAGACGGCCGTTGTAGAGGCTACCACTGTTTTGTTCGTCATTTCGTGTATGCGGTCAGCTTGTTCGGCCACCTGGTCCAAGGGGTCCTCTGTCCGAGTAGCAAGAACCATTTGCATTTGGGAGGGAAGTCTCCCGTGCCAGAGCGAGCGTAGTAAGGTGTCGGGCACGTTTTCGCCTGCTAACGTCCTTAAGTGTCGAAGAAATTGTGAGGGCTTGCGGTCCCCGATGTCTTCGAGTTCTAGGAGTTGTCGTGTACGTTGCTCCTGAGAAACGGACATTCGCGAAATGAGTGCTCTTTTGACTGCGTCATATTTGTTATCTGCAGGCGGTCGTGTTACTACGTCCTTGATCTCCTTTATTTGCGGAGAGTTCAAGTATGCGATGGCGTAGGAGTACTTAGTGTGGTCTTGGGTTATACCGCTAAGAGTGAATTGTCCCTCTAGTTGCGTGAACCATAATTCGGGCTCATCGCTCCAAAAGGGAGGTACTCGTACTGCGACTCTGTTTAGTACGACTTCTTCCGTAACCTGTGCCCTAGCGTTTTCTCCTTCCATTGCGATCACGTCGGGGTCACCAATTTTAGGCTCCGCTTAGCCTGTTCGCTCGTCTTATTTACTACGCTTTACGCAGTGGGTGACCGCAAGAGGAAGGGTAGTGACAGGTAATATTACGGACGCTAGGTTCGAAGTTACTGTGTCATTTTATTTGAGTTTCTTACATCTTGGGTGTCGACCACCCCTGAACTTCGTTTGGGTTGCAGCGTCCCGAAACGTCTTCTGCGTCGTTTGTGTCCCTGCATCGGCGAGGTACGCTCGGCGAGGTACGCTCGGCGAGGTGTGCACTCGTGGTCGGAGTCGTCGTGCCCGACTAAGCACACTCTCGGTGTCCGGGGTCGTTCCGGCTGGTCTCGCCGCGGGTCCGGTTCCGGTGCGCCTGGTCGGCAATCCGTGGGTGCATCCGCCCTGGGACGCTTGGCCTGGAGGTGTACAGGCAGCGGCTGCGTCCGTTTCCGCAGTGGGATCAGTTCCTCCTGGAGTGGAGGACGCGGAGGCCGGTCTCCTTTGTGGTCCCTGCTCCGGGACTTGCTTCCCTTGTGGGGACGGGGCTCCCGGTTCTCCTTGTTTGCCCGGCTCCTGGACTTCACCGCCTTGCGAATGTCGGTGGTGTTCGCGAGAGTCCCCGAGGAGTCGGCAGGCGTTGCGGCGTCCTGCGCCGGGGCCTTGTTTGGAGACCCCGTGGTGTCTGGCGTCAAGCGCCTGAGGGAGGCGACTAGCGCCCGGTGCAGCGTCCGGCGTGGGAAGGAGCGGCTGGCGCTCCGCTGAAGCGGTTGACGCTTCCGGGAAGGCGACTGGCGCCTGAAGGAGCGGCTAGCGCTCGAAAGAAGGCGGTGGACGCCTGACAAAGCGGCTGGCGCTTCCCGGTGGGCGACTGGCGCCGTAGGAGCGGCTAGCGCTCGAAGGAAGGCGGTTGACGCCTGGTGAAGCGGCTGGCGCTTCCCGGTGGGCGACTGGCGCCGTAGGAGCGGCTAGCGCTCGGAGGAAGGCGGTTGACGCCTAGTGAAGCGGCTGGCGCTTCCCGGTGGGCGACTGGCGCCGTAGGAGCGGCTAGCGCTCGGAGGTCTTCGCTGGCGACTGGCGCTCTTCTGCGTTGGGCGTCTTGCGCTCTCGTAGGATCCTTGGGCGACTGGCGCTCGGAGGCTCCCTTTTCGGCGACTAGCGCCGAAAATCTGATTAAAAATTCGCTGCGGGGGTCCTGCTTTTATCCTATGGTTGACCAAATCTTGATCGCAGGTTCGTCGCCCACGCGCCTCGCCACCTATCGGTAGCGCCGCGAACTACCGTACTCCGCGGCGTGCAGGCGCGTGCCCTGTGGCCAGTGTTCCGATTGGGGCTAGGCTGTTTTGCGCACGCGCGGCAATACGACGTCAGTAGAGTGCTTAGTGCTAGTGGAAAGGGGCACCGTTAGCACCCTGTTATCAAAAGTTTAAAAAGTATAAAAATTGTTTTTAAAAAGTTCTAAAAATGTAAAATATATACATATGTATGTAAAAATATATATAATTTATACAATTTAATTATTTTACAAATATAAAGTATAATAGAGAGGATAATGAGGAAAAAGGGAAAAGGAATGTTTGAAATAAAACATTTCTTATAAATCAAAATAAAAATATTTTATTTGGCAGAGATCTCAAAGAATACCAACATTTGTTGTAAAGGT